CTTTTTCATAGCCTTTTGAAGAATTGTTTTTTCATGATTGGATGGTTTGTTTGTAGCAAAACTATAGAACGGGGCCAGTATTTGAGAAGCGTTTTGTATGAAATTTCGTAAAAAATTAACAAAACCGGTGAATTTCTCGATGGCTTTCTTGTCTTCGGGTAAAACCCATCTGGCAATGGTATTTTTCTTCTCTTTATCGATGGCCAGGCGGTTATGCGATACTTCGTAGCCGAGGAACAATACTTTGGGTTGTGCAATGTGGATTTTCTCATAGCTGAGGGATAGGCCATTTTCTGCTAACAGGGCCATGATGTGTTTTAAAGTAGTGTAATGCTCTGCGATAGTGGAAGAAGCGATGATAAGGTCGTCGTAGTAATAGGATACTATGGTGTCCTTGGATTGGGGTAGTTGTTTAAGGATATTTTGAATGAATTCACCCCACCAGTAGGGAGCAGAAGCTAAACCATAAGGCAAGCGGTTAAATTTATAACTGCCAAGCTCTGTGATAAGGCCTAATTTGTCTCCTTGTATTGGTATCTGTTGGTAAGCCTTTCGAATATCCAGTGAAGAAAAAATGGTTTTATTAGCAAGGTTGCTAAAAATGTGTTGTATTGGAGGTATTGGTCTCGGTGTGTACAGCAAATGTGTGTTGACTTTTCTCAGATCCGTTATAATCCTAATCTTATCTTTAGATTGTTGGATGGGAAAAACCGGACTAAGAGCTACCACTTCGTCTGTGTCTATAGGTGTTAGATTAGCGTCAGTAAATCTTTTGGTGCATTCCAAAATGATTTGGTTGTCTTCATCAATTATGATTGAAGATGAGTGTTTTTTAATTTTTGATAATAGTATTTTTTCCTTTTGTAGTTTCTCGTTATTGTTAATCTTCCCTTGAGTTGGATTGTCTTGTTCGGCAATCAGGTTGTTCACTTGATTAATTATTTCACCTCTGAATTCTTGAAGGTATTTTGGTACTTCTTCAGCAATTCCGTCTCTAAGGTTTTCTAAATTCTTGTCTTCTTCTTCGAATTTTGCTTGTAAAGCTTGTTCTTCCATTTTCAAGATTGCTTCAGCGTGTTTTCTTTCTTCTTTTAGTTCAACACCTAGTTCTTTAGCTTCCTTTTTAATTTCCTCTTGCTCCTTTTGAAACTTGGTAAATTCAATTGATGCTTCTTTTAAAACTTTTCTTTCTTCGTCATCTTTGGTTTTTAATTCCAATAATTTAGTTGCTAAGTCGGTATTCATTGTGTTCATAGCTTCGAAACTTTGTTGGATCTTGGCTCTATAAGCAAGATCTTCTTGTTGTCTTTCATCCATCTTAGCATTCAATGCTTCGATTGATTCTTGTAAAGCTTTGATTGAAGCTTCCATTTTTGGTTGTTTTCTTCTGGGTTTATAACTTATGAAAAGGGTATGTGGTTGTGTATCTTGTTAATCTTATTACTTAAGGTTTAACAAAATGTTTAATTGCTTGACAAATTGTTTAGTTGCTTCACAAATTGTTTAGTTGCTTCACAAATTGTTTAGTTGCTTCACAAATTGTTTAGTTGCTTCACAAATTGTTTAGTTGCTTCACAAAATAATTATTTTGTATTGTTTGATCCGGAATATTGAATATCAATGTATTAAGTATTTATCTAGGGAAACAAGCCGTAGAAGTAAATACTTAAGGTTACTAGTTATAAAGCTCTATGAGGTTAATTAACTATTATAATAGCTATACGGGAGTATTAATATATAAGGATTTCTATGGTCTTCTGTTTAAAAAAAAAGTGAATATCTTTACTTTCGGAACTAAGCCCTTTATATACGTCATGTCAGTTATCTATTAGCGTCTTTCCTTTTAAAATCAATGACAAAACCTCTTTCCTTATTCCCGTCATCTGGGACAAACGGGGAATTCAAACCTCAACAAAAAAGACCTTCATCCCCATTGGGTGGGCTACACCACTACAAAAAAACTCATCTTAAAAGGCCCTGTGAAGGTAAGGGCTATCCGGTTACTTTTACCGGAAAAGGGTCCGGAATTCCAAACCAAACTGGAAACTTTGTTGTTTTTTCTCAACACAAGGCCTACATTTTTTTTATGGTAAGAGGGCTCAAATTTGAGAAAGAGTTTTTTAAATTATTAAAAGGAAAATTCCTTCGGGAATTTGCGGTAAAATTTACCCCCCCAAAGGTTCTCTTTTTTGGGTTC